TCTTCTCTTTCTCCTCTTCCTCCTCCTCCCCTTCCTCTTCCTCTTCCTCCTCTTCCTCTTCCTCCTGGTACTCCCCTCTATGGGCATCTGCAGGTGCCCCTCAGTCCCCCAAGCATTCCGGCCTGTCCTTGGGAGGCAGCTGCCTTGTCCAATCCATTCCCAGCACAGGTTGGAATCGACCGTCCCTCCGCAGTGGGCCGGATTGCCACAACCCTGCCCCGTCCATGGGCGGAAGAGGAGCGGAAGGCCTGGCCCCGGGAGCCCGGGCGTCCTTCTGGCTCCCCAAGGCGGTGGGGGAGGGGAGAGAGCGGCTCTCCTTCTCCAATCTGTTTGAGGCCCCCTTTGCTGGCAGCGCCATGAGAGAAGCAAGAGGTTAATGAGCCAACGCCGCCGCGGTGTTGCGGCAGCAGCCGCACGATGACAGTGAGCAGCAATTACTAATTAGATGCAGTTTAACAGGAGGGGGGGAGTGACATCTCCTCTTCGCCAACTGTCAATAATTAGCAGATCTGGTGAGGCTGAAATGTGTCCACAGTTAAAAGGCGGCTCCTGCCTGGGAAAGGAGGAGGAGGAGGAAGAGGAGGAGGAGGAGGAGGAAGGTACTGTGAGGTCCTTGGTGTTTTTCTGAGCTCGGTTGTTTCCTTGCAGACATTTCATGACCCAACTAGATAACATCTTCATTGCTAGAAGGAGGAGGGGTTTGCAGGGAGGAGGAGGAAGAGGAGGAGGAGGACCTCAGCGGGACAGGCAGGGACCAGCCTTTTCCACTGGGATTGAGCTGGGCCGGCCTCAGGGCAGGCAGGGGCTTTTTCCGGGCAGTAGGGAGGCTGGCTCTGGTGCAGCCTCAGGGAAGGATCTCAGCCCTTCCGAGTGGCAGGAATTGAATCCCGTGAGAACAAAGGATTGGTGTTCCCCTAAGCCGGTCAGTTGCCTAACATCTAAGCTGGCTTGTGGTCATTGCATGTGAAGCCCTTGGTGAGTGGTGGCCGGGGTGCCATCAAGGTTTCAGCCTAGCCCCAGAGGCCTCGCCTTGTTCCCAAATTTGGAACTGGCATGGGTGCTGCTAGAGCTCCTTCTGGGGTTTATCCTGGGCAGGAAAGACGGAGACACTGGCTACGGGATGGCTCTTGTGCCCCATGCTTTGCCAGAATCACTCAGCCGCTCCCGGGCCAAGAAGGGACGGAAGGAAGGAAGGAAGGAAGGAAGGAAGGAAGGAAGGAAGGAAGGAAGGAAGGAAGGAAGGAAAGGAAGGAAGGAAGGAAAGAAAAGAAAGGGAATGGAGAGAGGGAAAGAAGGGAGGAAGGAAGGACAATGTTTCATCATAACAAAAGCCCCATGTTTTCTTTTATGCCTTAAAATGTCGGCGAATGCTTCCTGCAGCTGACGCTCTGGCCTTCACAAGCTGCCTTGGGGGAGCTTTGCAAGATCGCAGCTCCCCCAAATGTTCGTACCCATGTGGGCCCCAGGAAGAAGAAACTCCACAAAGGACACCTGGTTGGCTTAGCTGGGCTCTCTTTTTACACCCATGGACCCACCATCCTCTGCAGACACAGGAGCCACAAGGATTGGCAGCCTTGGAGGCACCTGCTCACCTGTGACGAGCCCGGAGTTTCTGAGAACCATCTGGAAGACCGTCATCAACTGCCGAATCCAGTGGTTTGAAGGGCTGTCACAGAGAGGAAGGGGTGTGTGTGTCAACTTATTTTCCAAAGCACCTGAAGGCAAGACAAAAAAAAACAATGGATGGAAACTAATCCAGGAGAGAAGCAACCTGGAATTAAGGAGAAACAGTGTGGACAATTAACCAGTGGAACAGCTTTGTCTTCAGACGTTGTGGGTGCTTCCAACCCTGGAGGTTTTTAAGAAGAGAACTGG